TATATATGTATATATATATGTATGTATATATGTATATATATATATACGCGATAAGGAATGTCATCCTTAAAGCGAGAAGATGGCATGGCATCACCTCGATCCATATACTTTTCAAAAAGGTATCCAAAATTGTTCGCATTCCAACCAAATTCGGCCTATCAAACAACTATGCCCGCTCAATTATAGACTTATATGTATAGTCATTTTGTCTTTCTTAGATTAACTAAAGCATTGCATATTGATAATAATTTCTTACCAGATTCATGAGGCTTTTAGAGTGTTAAGGGGGTTGGTTAGGCTATCCATTGATCTTAAACATTCGAAACTAGTGGGGGCATGTTTTAATGGTTGCTTGATTACAAATATATTGGCTGAAACTAATTTTTGAAGCTAGGAAAGAAAAGAGAGGCATGTCTTTAAGACATGTTCAACTAAAAGGGTGACAAAGGAGATGAGTTCTAAGATTTGGGCTCAGTCCTAGCTCATCGAGTCAGAACAATCATGGACTCACCAATCAAGTTTGATGAAGAAACCTCGCTGATAGAGCTCGAGGTAGGCAAACTCTCCAAGCTGGGGCAAGAGCCTTTATAACCTAGCGACAAGGCTAACTCGAGTGCTTATCACAAAAAAGCATCGATTGCTGCTTTAGAAGAACTCCATCTACACCGATACCGGCTAATTAGGCCAAACAAGCCATCTACGACAAGAGATGTACTCCGATATACCAAAAAATCTGGCAACCCCTCCAACAAGTTGGATGCCCAAACCAAATATGTATCAAGGCTAAAAGACTTCTATATTCATTTGTACATATTATATTTACATACCTCATTCTATAGCATTTCCAATAGCACTCAAAACCCTATATCCCTACCAACCAAAAATGAATGCCGGGGATAGTAAAGGGTTCGATATCTTTTATTCATTTTCCGTCTACTTTACCATTATAACAACCTGAGCCATATTTTTGTGGATTTTCTTTCTCTAATCTTTTTTCTAGTTTTTCTCATTACTTCTAAATTTGGTAAAGTGCTAGAATAACCCATGGGCAAATCTAGATTCAACCGCATACTTATGATATTTGTGGAGTAGGTGTATTCTCCAATTATAATCGACAAATGTTTTATCCGAAAGAAGTTATAAATAAGCTTTATTTAGTAATGTATTAATCACAAAACCCATCTAATTAATAAACAAACAGATTAAATTTATTTGATCATCTAACTATAGATTTCATAGAGGTTGATTTACTGGTAGGTAGATTTAGGATTCAATGGCATGGCTTGCACTGCTTGATGAACTATGACGAAATTAGGTTATCTTAAGTCCATAAAATAATAACTAAGACAACAAATAAAGGTTAGAATTATAATTGAAAGTCGACTATCTGATTATGCATCCTCATCAGAGGTAAGGCAAGGAGTACAACTAAGAATTTCTCTTTTTTTCTATGTATTACTCTTTATTTGGCATTTTTAATCCACTTTCAGAGGTATTTTGGGTGTTTATTCTTTTTTAGAAAAAAAAAGGCAAATAATCCGAGTCAATTATGACATAGGACCATCTTTTTACAGCAAAAAATGGATCCATGGAAGATTTTCACTGTTATTCTCAATTTTTTTGTAAGAAAATACGATAGGGGAATTTTGATAATTTTAAGAAATCAGAATTTTAAAATATTGAATATTTTAATTGAAATTTGTGCATGAGTGGTATGTAGAATTCTAGCAACCACAAAAAAATTACAAAGAATTCGGCTTTGAAACTTTTACAACATATGGGTATATTGGTTGGAGGAGATTTCCACTAGTTATTTATCAGTTTGGTCCAAGACCAAAAGAGGCCTAACCCTAAGATACGTAACAGAAATAGTTTTAAAGCTTGAACAACTTATCCTCTTGATATGTCCTTTCGATTATGATTCAAATGGTTCACAATATGTACTGAGGAATCAACAAGAAAAGTACATGTGTACAACTGCAAAAATAAAAGCATCATAAATTCTATACTGTAAGCTAAATTGAATTATTCTCAAAATAGCACAACAAAAAAGCATTTTGATGTTTGAACCTCCACGAAAAAGAACGGTCATTGCAAGTATGTAACACCATCGACTGTTTCAACAGTTGAAACAAATTAACACTCAGCCATAAGAAATTATCAGAACAAAATTAAGTAACAGAACATGCAGGAGACAGAACTCCAGTAGAATGTCTTCTCTCGTAACCTATCCAAAATGAATTGCAACCAAATTTGCAATCAAAAGGATTTCATGCAAGACATTTACCTGCCAACACCATATCTCAAAATCTTCTTTTTGACATTACCGACCTCTCCACCATCCCTTGCTCTCTTCCATGTCACTATCTCAGCCCTCCTCTCTACCTTTCTATGCTTCTCATCCTCCATTCCTTCTTCTTCTTCACTGACCTCATTCCCGTCGTCATCATCATCACCCACCTTCTTATGAGACCAATTACTCTTCTCATAAATCGGCAAAGCCAGCGACTCTGATGTTTTGAGATGAAACCCCATAACGTTCGACCATTTCCGTGGAACATTCCGGACCACCCCATCCACCGTTGCCATCAAATTGTCGACAATCTCATCGCTTTCCTGCGACGCTCTCCCCACCCTAATGCCGCTGCACGTGCCGGGGCCAAGATTAAGCACCGTCGAGAAGCACACTTGCCTCACATACTCAGGCCACACCTTCCGCGTGAAATCCACCTCCACCAGCATACTCCGCTTCCTCTTCTTATTCTTCCCCTTTTCAAAGCTACACAGACGCCTTGCGATGCGGCGATCGGCAAATAGAAGTTCGCCGGTGAGAAGTATTCCAGAGCGAAGATCTGAGAGGGTAAGGATTTGGTTGATTGGGAGAGAGAGAGAGCAGACGAGGTCGCGAGCGGAGGATACTGTGAGGGGCGAGTTGGGGCGCTCGTCGAGTATGAGATAGACGGTGGAAGAGTCGTGGAGAGGGTGGGGAAGGGGAATGCGGTAGGGTTTGCAGTGGAGCTTGTGTGGGGTTTTGGTGAGGGAGAGGATGAGGTGGATGAAGTCGTCGTGGCGAGTGGCGGCCAAGTTGTGAGGATTTTGTTGGGCTCTGATCCATTTGAGGAGGGAGTCGACGGCCCTTGAGGCTGCTGCACGGCTTACGCGAGAGCGAGGTGATGATTGTGGCGCGTTTGGCATGGTGGCGTAGGTTTTGCTATGGAAGCGGACGAACCTTTAGGTCGGAAACGCTGTGCTCTAGGATGCATGCACGGTCGTAACCGGCCTGTAAAAATTGATGTTTTAGTGTGAGATAAATAAATATTTAAGAATTGGGTCTTGTGTATGTAAATTATTTTTTAAAATTATGGGATTCGCATACATAATTTAATTTAATGTTTTTATATTTATATATTTAATATTATACATCGAAAAATCAGTTTATTTAAGCAAGAGAAAAGCTCCAATATTAAATGAGTTATGGGCACCAAAAGTACATTCAATGTCTAGTGCTGACCTGATATATCATATTCGTTTGATGTGCCTTTGCAAGTGACAGATCGTGGAGCTCTTTGCCACTCGAAAGGAATTTGTGAGTATATTCTAGGTATGTAAGCATTCTTATGAGTTCCTCAGAATGAGTCTACTAACCTTAATCCTCAAGCGAGCTCTTCTTGTAAAACTCGCCTAGACTACCTGAGTTCTCATTCCAAACTCACAAGAGTTGTTTGAACATTCCAACCAAACTCATTGACAGCTACCTGGCTACACCATCAAGCTCGACGGGCACCTCTCCAAGGCAGAAAGAAGAAAAGTCCAGTCGATCAGCATATATATCGTCATTTATTAACGACATTATAATTCACAGCAATAGTCTTGTCGACAACGAGTCTACTTAGACTCGATACAACATGGCACATGACCTAATTTTATTATTTATTCTTTAGACACTTATATTGGTATATAGGTTTCTCAGTATATAAATAAAAAGAAAAGTGGGAAGAAGGGGATCTCCATTTTTGAAAATCTCTCAGCTTCTTCTCACTCCTTCAAGATCTCTCTCAGATTATATGAGTTCGCGAATTATACAGGATATAACGTTCCAAAATGATGCAAAATCAACATTTTAGGATGTTGAATCATTGAGAACATGAGATCTTCTATAATTTGTGAGCTCATGCAATCTGTTAGAGATCATGAAAACGTGAGAAGAAGCCAAGGGATTTTCTGAGAGGGAATTTTTAACCTTCAGGGGGAGTTTGCTTCCATGACGACTTGGGGGAATGCATTCTCCAGTAATCTTCTTTTTCATCTTTCTCTTTTTTCGTCTTTTGAGGACTCAGACATCTCTTCTCCTGGAATGTACAACTTGTCCTCGTTCACTTCTTCTACCTCTTCTAATGTTGGATCTAAGGCTCTCTTCAACCTAACTTGAGGTGGCTCTTCTCTAGGTGGTTGGACACTCTGTTGTTTTTGCCTATGCACCACTGAACCTGGTGATCCCATATGACTTCTCGAATGATTTTTGGAATGAATTATGAACTTCGCTCGCCTTACTTTATTTATCATCGTATTTATTTCTTCCTTGAATTTCTCCATCTGCTATGTCACAAATTCTCTAGTGCACTCCATCATTGTTTTTTTATTTCTCCTTGAAATAAAAGATCTCCTCACTAGATCTTAATATGGAGTTCCACGCTCGCCGCACTATTTAAGATAATGCGCATATCTAAAAATGAGTTTTTTAATTAACTAGAAAACCTAAATATTAAATGGGTCTCATGGGATTATCGGATCAAGCCCACTAGTTTTACATTCAATGTTCTAGCACCGACCCAATCTATTGTAATGTTTAGGCATACCTTTGTAAGTGACAAGCTGTAGAGCTCTTTGCTGCTCAAAAGGATTTTGTGAGTGTCTTTAATGTACGTCATTATTCCTACAATTTGCTTGAAACGAGTCTACCCAATATTAATTCTCAAGCGAGCTCTTCCACTCAAACTCTTCTACACAACCAAGTTCTTGTTCCAAGCTCACACGAGTTGGTCGGTCATTCCCACCAAAGTCATTAACATTTACCTGGTTGCACCATCAAGCTTGATGGACAACTCTTCAAGGAAATAGGAAGAGAGTTCCAATCTATTAACCTGCATATCTTCATTTATTAACAGCAAGACAATCCACACCAACGTCTTGTCGACAATGAGTCTGCCCAGGTTCCGTACTGCATAAGCCTGTAAACTAGTTTATGTTTTACTTTTTAGAACCCTGTGCGGGTACATAAGCTCCTCATTATACAAATAATAAGAAGGAAAAGAGTTTACTTTCAATCCTAGACACTAAAAAAAACTAATTATTTCGTCAAAACTGAAAAACTTAACTTAACCGACCAAGCTTGATAGGTTTTGTTCAATTTCAAAATTGGCTTTTGGTTTTTGGTTGTTAAACTTTAATATTTGGTTTTTGATTTTTTATTCGTTTTTAATTTTCACTCAACCAAACAAATCCAAAAACTTATATTTTATTAAAAGTTTTTATTATATCTTAATTTTATGTGGAATAAACTAAAAAAAATCAAAATTTTTATTATATGTAATATTTGATTGAAATAAATAGATGGTTCATGAAATCAAATCAATATTGTGGATAAGATGTGTAATTCGTAATACTTGTTTTTAGTCAAATTTCATTAAACAATTAAATTCCACTTTTTTCATTATTGAACCGTTTAAATAGAATTAAATTTTGGTTCGATCGGTTCAATTTTATCAAAATTTAGGTTGGTTCAGATTTTTTGGATTATGGATTTCGGTTGTAAACAATTCGACAGTTTTAAAACCTATTTATTCAAACCTACCAAATGCTCACCCCTAGGGGCCTCGATGCAGATTCACGCAAGTAAACTGATGAGATGTGGACCGAAGAGATATACTCGACCACAACAACAATTGGAGCGACCTAGTTAAAGGTTTATTGTCAAAAGTCAGAAAGGTTACAAGAGCCGCCTTAAGCCTCTGCATTAGAAATCACTCACTACGAGTATCTATGATTGAAATCATAGAACAATGAATTCTTCAATAGGCCTCCATCGATGAAGGTTGGGAGCTTCCATCAAAATCACAACAAATGTTGCACCCATTATCGTGAACACAAGCATGATACTTAAAAATTTTGCCACCTTCAAAATTTGATCAAAGAATTAATCTGAGCAAGGAAGTTGAAATTTGTTGCGCCAGAAGCACATACTCAAAAGTAAGGAAAGGCACCAGTAGAGACCAATCCTGATGAACTAGTGTCGGCTCTATTTTGGTTGTGGAGTTGCCCATTAGAAGCTGTCAGTCACCGGAATCGAAATCCCGTCGCCCGCTTCGGAGGGACATTTTAATTTATATATATATATATATATATATTTTGTTTTAGAAAAATATGAAATCAAAATGATCACATATCTTTCATAGTTGAAAATATTAGAAAAATATGAAATCAAACTGACCTCATATTTTTCATAGTTTAAATGAAAGAGTGATATACCTCAAACTCTCTATCAATCCCGAAAGATAAACACATGACTTGAGGGTGAGACTCGATCACATAAACTAAGAAGTATATGATGTCTGTTTGGTCTGCGAAACTGTTTTGTTTGCCTACAATTTTCTCTATTTAATATGAAGAATTAAATAAGGTTTATTTTAAGTTGGGTTCAGAAAAGCTTCCTATAAGAGCAAGCCTCTATAGTTAATTACATCCTAGATAACCGAAGTTACCTAAGAAAACTCTCGATAAAAATTAGGAAATATTATTTTTAAAGGAGTCAAAGGATATGACTTTTCAACGAAATCGGACAAAGAGGTGTGAAACGGGAATGTCTCAAATTTGAAACATTTATTGTGGAATCCAAAGGAGGAAAAGCTAGGGGATGTCACGACTCCAAAAGAGAACTTCGATGACTTCCCAGTCTATCTTATGGTTTGGCTTTAATTTAGAGGAGAAAATTATTTAAAATTTTTATTCTGCCAATTTTACTTGTTAGGGCTTACATTTGTGTGAAACGATCACACAAATAGCCTGGAACATGTGAGGATTTAGGTCATAACGAACGATGACCTCAGAAACCTAGGGCGAGTTAGGACTTATATTACACAACACAATTGTGCAAAGGCCTAAAGATGAATTGAGGATTTACGTTGCATAAGCAAACAACCTCGAAGTCCTATGGTTTTTTTGTTTAATTCTAAGAAAAGGAAATTGATTTAGCTGGGAAAGACATGTTTTGCTGTTGAAGATGGTCGTGTTGCCCACCATGCTAGCTCCAAGCTCCTCGCCGTGATGAATTCAAATTTTCTAGTGCGTCAAGTTACGATGTCAAATCAGGTGGCCCTATAGTTGTAGTTCTTTAAATATTTTATGGGGACATACTAAAGTTGATTACAACAACACCGGTTAGGATCTTACAGTTCCCTCGTTCCGACACCACTATTTTCTATTGGGTTCACTTAGTTCAGATGAATTTACTAAACTCAACTTAAGAAATTCCGTACTTTCATTTAGACCACGAGAAATCTCGTTAGCAATCGTAGGTTACCTCCTTCAAGGGATTCCCGATCATCCGATAGAGACATCTTAATTTAGTTACAATTATTGTTTTGTGATGTTTGTGATTAAATTTTGAGTTATCTTATATTTTGAATGTTGTGGAGGTGAATTTTATCTTGGTTGATTTAAATTTTTATTTTGTTTTAGTTTTGTGGCTATCCTAGCAGTTTTGGTTTTCATGCAGGGTGACGTCATTGTTTAACATGCAAGTTCGTAAGCATAAAAGTACAATGTAGAAAGTACGATAAAAGAAATCACTGTAAACTGTAAAAGTGTACATGGCGAGTCTTCTCATTCCACCACCTGAAAGTTACAGTACTTGCAAAGCACATGCATATATATATACAATTTTGTAAGAATTAAAGCATGCTTATAAAAAAAGTAGAAAATAGAAATTTAAAGTGTGTCTACCAGATCCTATGTTATAACTTAGTGGGTTTAAATTTTGAGGATGATTACATTAAGCAAATCATAATAAGTTCAGATGTCCAACAAGATTTTTAAGGGATTTTGAAGAAATCTCAGGTAATACTCTAAACATTTCATAGTCCCCGGAATTATCTTGAGTTTATTTTGATCTTATTATGTTTGCTATATAGTTCATCCATTCAATACCCTTATGCTCAATAAATTATGATGTTTTAGTTATCTCTTAACTGGGGTAACCATCATTTGATATCTTACTT